CTGGGCAGGAGGTCTCAGGAGGGTGGGCTAGGCTGGGCTCGGCTGGGCTGGGCTGGGCTGGGCACAGTGCCGAAGCCCCCGCCAAGGCGAACCGGTCAAGATGCTGAGCAAGCAGCAGGTCTCCTTAGGCAGGTCCCAGGATATCCCTGCTAAGCTCGGCCAAAACCTGCTGAGGGGAACGACCTGCCCTTCCCAGGAAAGAGGGGATGTCCCACACCCACCCGTGCCTGTGCACCAAGCAGGCTGGAAAAGGTACCTGGCTGCCAACCCCAACCGCGCTCCACCGCAGGAGGTCCCCAGACCCTCCTCAGGGAACAGCCGATTGCCAGTTCTGGGGTCAGGAAGGAATTTTTTCCCCGGGGCAGATTGGCACAGCTCCCCAGGGGTTTTTCGCCTTCCTCTGCAGCATTGAGCTGCAGGAGCCCTTGCCAGGGCTCCTCGGGGCCATTTCTGGCCAGTGATTCCCTGCTGTTGCAGGACCAGTCCAGCTGTGCCCTCCATTGCGCCGCCTCTCTTCCCTGTGCCAAGTTGGTGGGGGCACCTCAAGGACTCTCATGCATTAGGTTGCCTGGGCATCCATGTGCAAATCTTGGCCTGCTTGGAAAGGCTGCAGGCATGATGCTCCATCAGGAAGGATCCGCCACTTGCTGCTTGGCCATGCATGCAATAAAAGCGGAGCGTTGGTCTCCTCTGCCAGAGCTGCTGTTTCTGTTCTCAGTCACCACCCTCAGCTGAGGACCTGGCCTCTCACAGGTACTGCATCATCACTAATTGAAACATGAGTGAAACAGGAACTATGCCTCCTCACAACTTCTCCATCTTTGAGTAATCAGGGTGGTGTTTGTGTGATAGAAATTAGGAAGCCCACGCCAGTACATAACCCTGACTTACATCTCTGTGGGATAGAGGTGCACTGCAATGCTTGTGGGGCTCCTCCTGTTTTTTTATTTGTGCTTTCCAAGAAAAATAGCCAGCTGCGCTTTGACCACAGTGTGAATCCAAAAGACACTGATGAAAATCAGACCTTGTCCCTGCCTGCTCGGAGAACCTCTGGCACAGAACGCAGAAGAGAAGACTGTTGGCCCTGGGGGGTGGGAGGTTACAGAGTGACCGTGCATGTGGTGTGGCCACAGTGGTAAAGGCAGTCCCGGGGCTTGAGAGCTTGTGAAGCTGCCCTGGCCTTCCAAATTGACTGACATGAACACCAGGATGAATTAAAGCAACATTGGAGGTGCTGTGAGTATTCAAAATAAAAACAAGCCACCTTCTGACCAGCACTTGCCCTTTCTTCAGGGATACTCCAATAGCAGATTTCTGGAAGAGCAGCTGGATTTGCTAATTAACTCAGTGGTTTTCTAGGCCAGCTTCACTCCCCATCCATGGGGTCCCTCTGCTGCTCATGAAACTTTGGTGTTACTGCAGAGTCGCCATCCCTGATGGCAGCACAGGTACAGGACACTGTCTTTGGCCGGGGACAAGGAAGCTCCTGAGTCCCGGTCCCCTTCACACAATCTTACTGTTACTGCCCTGCTCTGTCACAACTGACACCCTTTAACACCCTTGGACACAGCTGGCCTCATCGTGCTGCTGGTAAACATCTGCAGCTTCTTCTCTGGAGGCTCCATGGTGTGGCTGTTCTTCAGGCTCGCCCTCTGTAGAAATTGCTGTAGAAATTGCGTGCCTATGTGTCTGTGTGTATCTGCCTTGTTTCTAGGCTGGACCTACAA